GAGTTTGCGGGCGGGGGACAGGGGGAGGTGGCGCCGCTTGGTCGGAAGATCCACGCGGGCGGTGAGAGCGCTGTGGTGAGGGCTTAGAGGCAGAGGGGTCAGAAAATGCCTGGATCAAGGGGGAAAAAACAAAGAAAACAAACCAAACTAATCGGCTTCACAGCTTCCCGCCTAGTTTGGAAGCTCTGGGGAGGAGAAGCCCCTCTGAAGGATGCGGTGATGGACTCGATGATCTCAGAGGTCTGTTCCAGCCTCTGTGATGCGGTAAATAGTTACCTGACCTCCCCTGCCCTCAGGAGATGACTTGAGTTTGAGTGTTTGTGTGCCAGGATCTGCCCTGAATGAGTTTCTTGTATTTAAGGTGAGTGTTTGTGGGGTGCGTGTTTATCTAAAGGGAGTCAGACCCGTTGTTTTTAAGTCTGTTTTTTCATGTCTAAAATATATTTATTCCATACATTAAAAAAAAAAAGAGTTGTATGGTTTTGTTTTAAATTATTGTGGGAGACTTGGGAAACGGGACCAAATAACTTTAAAATTAATCCGTCAGTTTCGATCAGACTCCACAGCAGCATGTCCAGCAGGGCCAGCGAGGATCTCGTCTCCCTCTCCTCTGCCCTGGTGAGACCACACCTGGAATAATGTGTCCAGTTTTGGGCTCCCCAAGTCAAGAGAGAGAGAGGGATCTACTGGAGAGAATCCAACGGAGAGCTATGAGAAGGATTAAGGGACTTGAACATCTCTCCTGTGAAGGTAGACTGAGAGAACTGGGGCTTGTTTAGCCTTGAAAGGAGACGGCTGAGAGGAGACCTTATTAACGTACACAAATATCTGAGGAGTGGGTGTCAAGGGGAAGGGGACAATCTCTTCTCAGTGGTGCCCAGCAATAGAACAAGGAATAATGGGTTTAAGTTAGAACACAGGAAGTTCCACATGAACATGAGGAGAAATTTCTTTACTCTGAGGGTGACAGAGCACTGGCACAGGCTGCCCAGAGAGGTTGTGGAGTCTCCTCTGGAGACTTTCAAAACCCATCTGCACACGTTCCTGTGTGGCTGCCCTAGGGGATCCTGCTCTGGCAGGGGGTTGGACTCAGATGATCTCTAGAGGTCCCTTCCAACCCCGAACATTCTATGATTCTATGTCACACTGTTAAGCTTTCTATTTGATAAGGGGAAGACTCAGTCCAAATGGTTCTGTTGTTGGGAGGGAGGCTCAGATGTGAGCTCAGTGGCCATAAGCTGCTTTTAGCCAGCTGTCTGACCACCAGTACATATGGAGCAAGGAAGCAAACCTTTGGCCACCTTAGCGAAGAGCTGTGTCTGTTGGAGTGTTGTTCTGAGTATCCTTGCACATGATTTATATTTGGAGGGACTAACTCAGGTCTGATTTTATGGACTGAATTCTCATTAGGATCACATCTTTCAGTTTATGTATGATCCAAAATAGATCTGATTTGCGTACCTTGCTCTCTAACGCGACTCACAGTAGGTGAGGGCGGTGGAAAGATTGCTTCAAAAACATGCTCGTGATTTGAGCTTACACACTGATTTAGATACACAGCAGCCTCTTGCTGCTCTTGAGGAATGTGGGAAGGGGAAGAGGAAGAGGTTGTGGAACACTGAAGCAAAAAGAGTTGGATGTGCTGCTGTTGCCGGGATGAGTATTTGGGAACATTAAGAAGGGAACAGGAGATGAGGTTACTGTGGTATAATGGCCTAGATGAGGACAGTATGCAGAAAGCGAACACATCTCTTGAGGCAATGAGGCTTCAGTAAGTTTGTTCTCCCCTCCTCCAGGAGCTGCCATCGAAGTTTTTATCTGGTCACTTGATGCAAAATTTATTTATTTATTCTTAAAGAGGCATAATCATATACCCAAATACAGACACCTTTCTTTGTGCTATTTGGCTAAACTCCCTTTAGCGGAGAGCAATATACACTTCTAAAACATTTTTCAATGTGTCCTAAAGTAGATAAAGGATGAGACAAATCCATTCTGGCTTCCAGCATCATGGGTAAAGGTACAGAGCTTTAGCAATGGATCATTTTAATTTTGGTTTTAAAGTGCACCGTTTGCTTTGTGATGTTGATAGTAGTTATCAATCACTTTTGCTGATCTATTCAGAGGATGTTTTTCAAATTTAAATTTTGTCTTACACCGTAAATCACTTGCCATGTCAAAAATGGCTGAGATTTGGCAAAATCTTTGCTCATTTATGGCCTACAAATTATTGGTGATTGTGGATCTTTGGATTCTGTCAAACTTTGGAGTATTTTATGTTGTGCCGGGGACACTTGAATTAATCCATTGCATAGGCTCTTAATTAGTCAGTGGTGGTATTTTATGAAGTGATGTGATGGATTCTGCATCCCTAAAATTCAATGGGAACATAATTGAGCTCACCATGATTTGAGACTTGAGGTACATAAGAGGAGTAACCTGGTTTATGTTAAAATGTTATTTGTGTAGTGTTTTAACTGACGCTGTACAGTCCTGCTGGCAGTAGAGAGGAGTCCCAGTTTCCATTTCGTTCCTTGGAAGTCTAATATTGATCTATCGCTTACTCAAAGCAAGAAACAGATGAGTTCCATGTAATGTACTGTGGTTATGTATGAAATTAGACATCCTGAATTTAGGTCAGATGGATTCCTCGTTGAGAAAGTCAGTTAAAGAAACTGCTTTCTAGCCTGTGGCACCCTATAATACTGTAAGAACTTCAGAAGCTCAAAATATTTACTGCTATTTTCCCCTTTTTAAACAGGCACTACTTTGCCCTACCCACTAATCCTGGTGAGCAGTTCTTTATGTTTTGCACGCTGGCCGCTTGGCTGATCACTAAAGCGGGACGTCCCTTCGAACAGCCACAGGAATATGATGACCCCAATGCAACAATATCAAATATACTCTCAGAATTGCGATCATTTGTAAGTGTTGAACATGCTGTTTCCTCAAGTTTGTTTCAGGCACGCGTGTCACCTTCACAAATAACTGTCTGATTATGTTCCCAAGAACTGGACAGACTTCTCGTATCTATAACTTTGCACTGTGTTAAGTAGTTAACCAGAAGTTTGTCTGGTCTGTATCCACTTGCTAATTTTTTGGCACTAAGGAAATGGTCTTACAATATTAGATGCAATTCCAATTAGTTTTGTTCCACATCTGTAAAATGGATGAAACGGGGCCTACTTGAACTGCTACGTATGTTGCTCATTTATGGTAGTGTAATTTACTGAGATTTGTGGAAAATCTACACAGTGCTTGTGATCCTGCTCCTGCCAAAGTCAATGATATAATTCATAGTGAAGGAGATGGTGTAGAATTTTGTTCACATTTTCTTTAATTAATTCTATTTTTATTAAGGAGTAAAAGGTTACATAAACTGCCAGGAAGTACTGTGATTTTTTTGAATATTAAAAAACAACAACCCTGACGCTCAGGAGAGTATATATTAGGGGAAGTTTGACCTTATGGAAGGTTATACTGTGGTGGAGCTGTGAATGATGTTCTCTAAAGGAGTTAAACCATAACAAACTAAAATGTTTATTCTGCAGGATAGTAATAAATAAAAATCAAGTATTTTATTTATAAAATCTGGAACAAACAAGACAATGTTGAAAAGCTGGCGGTTAAGTCTCAGTACCTCAGTTTCTCTGTAGCTGTTCTTACCTTGCCAGCATGTCACTGTGTGCTTGACCATCAAGCTCCCTTGTGGCTTCTAAATCTTCTGCTCCCTGTTAGTATCCTCTTGCCAGGTGCTGTAAGATTTCTACACTGCATCTGTCCCTTGGGTTGTTCTGGTTTGCCCTCTGTTGCCTGACTCTAGGTGTACAGGGGATGAATATGAGTTAACATTAGTAAAATCTTCATACACAATAGACAACTCCGCCTTCAGAGGAAACTTGGATTGATAGGTAGCCACTAGTAAACAACTTACCTCTTTATTTTAGGGAAGGCCTGTGGATTTTCCTCCCTCAAAATTAAAGGCAGGTTATGGAGAGCAAGTGTGCTATGTTCTTGATTGTTTAGCTGAAGAAGCCTTGAAATACACTGGCTTTAGCTGGAAAAGGTATAGTACACTTTTAAGCATCCTTCCTTATGCGTTGTTTTCCTGCAAACAAGTGTAAGCTGTAATTGTAAAGACAAAATACAGTAATGACTAAAAATGTTTTGCCTGATCTTTCATCAGATATAAATTTCATGAGATGCTTGTAGAAGTGGGACAAATTATTTCCTAATGTAATTTCACACACTTTAGTCTATTACCAGCAAGGATGAGTTTGGGCCATTGATAAACTTAGCTAATTAATAAAGATCTTACTGATTACCTTTTCTTTTTGGACATTTTCCTACACATAACTGCTTGTTAATCTGACAGTTGTTACAACATTTAGTGCCTTTTAGGTCCTATCAATCAATAGCTAAATTCTTGAACCCCTCACTTGGAGGTATACACAGGATGGGATCATGTTACAAGTAGGCTACAGTAACTTTGAGTATTTACTCAGGAGGAATTTTTGGGAGAATTAGATGACAGACCATTTCAAGTATATGAAAATTTCTTTAAAAGTATTCTTTATTTCATTCCTTCCCTCTGATGGGTCTTGAAATGGATGTAGAGAAGTAATGTCTACCTTGGAAATATTTTACTGTTACTTCTGTTGAGTACAAAAATTCTGCTGTAGGATGAAAAATAGTCTGTGGTGACTTGTACCTGAATTTCAAGAGATTAGATCAAAAGACAAAGAAACCAAATTTTACTCCCCAGATGTCTTTGTAGTATGAATGTACGATGCTGCTTGGCATAATAACTGGCCCTTATTTTTAAGACAGTCCAAGATCATGAGTTTTAAGGCTGAGTGTTAGTTTTATTTATTTAATTATGTGAGACACTAATCACTGTCTGGTCATATTCCACATCATCCATACTTGTCATGAAATGTTTGGTTTGCTTAGGAGCAGTGTAGAGAGGTATTTCCAATTTTTTATGTTTAAAAGTTCTGCTGTTCCTTGAACTAATTTCAGGCCAGCATATCCAACAGAAGAGCCCGAAGAAGAAGAAATAACAGAAGATGATGCGGAATTAATACTAAATAAACTGCAAGAGGATGTTGTGGTAGGTTTACCTGACTGGTTTTGATTACATTAGTATCGGTCACTACGAGGAAATTTTTACTCGCAGCTCATTTTGTTTGGCTTTGTTTTAAGCGGTCTTTTCTATTAACTGTTCAATTGCCTTTTTTTTCCCTGCATCTCCATTCCTGCATGTCAGCTTCTTTGTAGAGATTTTTTGTTTATTTTCAGGTAAGGATGTTAACCCGCTGAGATAGACCATGTGTTTTTATGTGCATGTATAGTTAATGTAAATTGGAATCTAACCATACATTAAAATTACATAGATTCAGAATTGTTTGTTTTCTACTGATAAAAGCTGTTGATGTTAAATGAAACTTCAATCCCTGTTTACAGAATTGGCTAGTATTTCGTTAAAAATTTGCATAGCACTTGATTAATGGAGTGTTCAATATTGTAACTCGGATTTCATGGCAAATAGGAGGTAGTAGCTTTGGTACTTTGTTCGCTTAAAGATTTGTGAACAGAGAAGATGGAATGGAACAACTGGAAACAGTGCATTTGTTTAAAATCACCAACAAAGACCTAAATGAAGGTTGTGGAATTGTTTCTGTAGACAAAGGTCATGGCAGCTCATTGCTGCGTATTCCATGAATGGAATGGTAATATCCCGTTATCCATTCTGACTGCAGTCTGTGTCTTTCCGTGTGCTTTGGATTACCTTTTACCAACAAGATGGCAATGTCTGAGGATCAACTGTTGCATTTATTCAAGCTTTTTAACTGTAATAATTACAGTAAAGTTCTCATGTCTGTGAAATGGCCTATGAAAAATACACCTGTAAGTTCAAATATGCTTTTAGGACTTCCTCATGGATGTTGAACAGAAGTAGTTTCTCAGAAAATTATTTTTATGGGAGTTGGAATCTCACTGTAAACTGGTAGCATAATGTGATCACAAGACATTGTCATTTTCATAGGCCTCTGGGTCTACTCAAAGTGAGTGTTTTTACTACTTGTTTAAACAAAATTTTTCTGCAGAGGGAGGTTAGTTGAAGACAATTAACATGAAGATTACAAAAAGATGTTAGTTCTGTATCTGATTCCTTCAGAAGCTGATGATTCTGTGCAAAATACATGTAGATCAAAACCAAAATACTGAAAACTGAACCTAAAAATGCACACTTGTTGTGTCAGCAAATCACCTGAGGGGGAAACAATTTTCTAGAGTCTGAAGGCCCAGCAAGACTAGATAGAAAATGCCACAACTTTCCCCTCTTTGTGTTCACATTTTTCGTGGGAAAAATGAAAGGTCATAGAAGTTAGAAATAGAGGGCCAGTAATGTTATTGTACAATTCTGATATTAGTCTCAGTTTATATGTCACAAGAGTCCATGAGAAGGTAACAGTTTGAGAGTTTGCTTTTCTTCTCCCTCTTCCCAGTTTTCCTAAGTTGCGTTATTTTTTTCATTTTTATTGGCCAAGAAAAAATTCCAAACTTTATTCTTAAATTTCATACAATATGTAAATACCGCAATGTGGGTGTCTAGTTGCATTTTTATCAGCTTTGAATTCTCCACAGAAAATGTCTTGAATAATTCTGAGAAGAATAGGAGACATTCTCTATTGCGTGTTTGGTCAGCCTCAGAAATGTAAGCTGTTGGCTAAAAGCTTTAAATATGAAAACAACTGTCTGCTCTTTGCTGTGTCTCGTTTAGGTCTAAGCTGTTTAAATTGGGAAGTGGGGATGAAACAATTCACTAAAGCACAGTTGAAAACCCTCGAAGATCCTCTGGATTTGCTCTCAGTGTCATAGGCCATGATTTTCACAACTAACGTGTTCTGTTAGCTCTGCTGAGTTTGTGTGTTGTTGAGCTAGGTTTGTACCAAGTGTATAATCACTTTTTTGAGCCCCTGATGGTTCCACAGGGATTAATTATATGCGAATGTATTTCTTTTTTCCCCAGTCCATTGTTGCTGCCAATATATCGATATGTCCTGCATCTATTAGCTGTATCCGTAATTGAATTTACCGGTATTTCCGGTAGTTAAATGCTAATGATGAGGTTGATTGATTGTTCTTCTGGTTTTCATTCTTCAAAATAAAATTGATGCCAGAGACAAGCCTAGCTCTGTAAATCTTGGTGAATTGGGTAGCTCACGTTAGGTAGTCAAGAGGAGCCCACAAGGCTGGGTGTGCAAGGAAAATTGCAGAGTTTGATTTCTCAGTTCTGATAACTACTAGTCTTGTTGTTGTGGTAGTGTTGTAATATGTTCTTCTAAGTGCTGCATAAATATATAGTGTCCATTTAGCAAAGATAGTCCCCATCTAGTCACCAGTAATGTGTTGCAAGTATTCAGGGGAGTAGGGGCCAAACATGCCAGAAGAAAATAAACTGGTCCTTCCTTGTTAGTTAAAAATTAGGTAAGGTAGAGGAATAAGCTCCCAGGTTTTCACTAGATGAGTCTAGAAAGATTCCATGCTAAGACCTGGGTTATTGCAGCTTTCATGATTTGTCTAGAAAGGAGGTGAATGATGAAATTTGACTTGGGTGGGAAAGACAGCTAACAGGAGAGCTACAGGATGAGATGTGTACAGGTGAAGTGTTTAGGTGATAAAATGACAGGTGAAATTCAGTGTAGATAAATGGAGGGTAACATACAGAAATAACGTCTTTGGCTTATGCGCTGATGGGCTTCGAGCTGATCATGGTCACTGAGGAATGCAATTTTGAGACTATAATAGAGAATTCTATAAAACTGTCAGCTCAGCATATAGTGTCACAGGCAAGAAAACAAATCAATTGCTTCAATTTCAATTGTGTCTTTCTGCACACTTCAAATGTGGCATCATTCTGCAACTCTATGAAGTGCAGACAACATCTTGAAAACGATATTCAGGTCTGGTTATGGTTTGGATTTTGATGTGGTTTTATTCTTAACCCAAAGCTTTAGGAAAAACATAAGACATTACCGTTACCATAAAACTGCTGATAATGGCACATTTGTTGTGAGATGGCGTAGCTTTTGAGTTGGTTGGTTTAGTTTCTAAGTACTGTGACACCCTGAGGGAAATGTGTGGTAGCTTTCATCTTTTAACTTTTCCAGAATGTTACATCTCCTCGTAAGTTTTTAAGGAAATACAGGGTCCATTATTTCAAACTTTCTGTGTTTTGTTTTGTTCAGAAATACGGAATTTAATATTCTTTGTCCTGTGCTCCTCAACATAAGATTATGGAGCAAGATTGTGCAATGCCCACTAAAGTCTTACTTTGCAACTTTCTTTAAGGAGGAAGAGTCCGACAATGAAGAAAATTTGATTGACCTGAATGTTCTAAAGGCACAAACATACAGATCGGTAAGTTGTTACCCATCAGTCCACTCTTGAGAGTTTTTTATACCTGTAACCGCAATTTATTTCTGTTGGATTAAGTCTGATAATCGATGTGTAGTCTAAACTTGAAGCAACATTCCAACTCAGGTGCATTGGCTTATTTTAAAAGAAAAACGCTCAGCCAGTTTCTAAACTGGTATCCTTGCAAGGTTGCTGGAAACATTTGCAAGAAATTTTTGCAGAGGCTTTTGGAGAAACATGGTATTAGTTTCTTGGATATATTTTAATCACGTACACACACATGCACACTACTTCTGGAATGTATTATAATTTCTTATTATATATATTTATTTTCAATTTTAAATATGATGAGAAAATATAACTTCATTTCTAATTACATCTATTACATCTGTAGTCTAGATCACTCTGGATATAAATATTCTAATGAATGTGAGCACTGTAAGCTGTTGTAACATGGTTTCTAACAATTCTCACTGTGCGTAATGATGATGTTATGTATATTAACTTTTTGGTTTTTACACAGGACATGAATGACAGTGCAAAGCAAGAAGAGATTCTACAGTCCACAACAGATACAGCAGAGTGGAATCTGGAAGTGGAGCGTGTACTTCCGCAGCTGAAAGTTACAGTGAGGACAGACAATAAGGTATGCAAGAATGGATTTGCCTGTGTATAAATGATGATTAAAGTGTGATTTCAGTCAGTGTCATTTAATTTCCATTTACAATTTTTTTTCCTTTTGTCATGCCAAGCAGCACTCCACTGCTGTTTTGTCTGAAACTTTGTCAGTTACTCTGACCCTAGAAGGAATACTTTCTGATAGGGTTTTTTTCCCCTAATATTATATAAGAATATTTTTCCTGCTACTTGCAGGGTACGTTATTTCTAATATTTATTCAGCGGAAGCTTTATAAATCGTGAATTTATAAATATAAAAATGTATTCACACTTCCGAAAAATTATACCCTCAGTTTAGCAGCTATTAAAACATCTTCCTGGAAGAGAGATAATAAACTTCTTTAAACTATTCCATTTGTCAACCACGTGAAAGGATAATTGTACAGAATTTATCTTGCTGAATTTTACACAACAAAGAGTAGGGCTGTACCTCTGACCTAGTCATCATGTGCTCTCCTTATGTTTAGCAAAAAGAAGTGAGTACTTTTTTGACTGGTTTTACTTACCTATTCAGATAACTACCTGAAGATGAAATTCATAATTTCTTAGAAATGTGTATTTCCATAATGTGTTTCAAGGAATCTAAAATGAGCAGCTTTCTTTAGCAAGTCCAAACCTAAGATCTATCCCTGGCATTGCCATAAGCATTCTTTCTAGAAGCTTGTATTGCAGACAGTGCAGTATTGAAATTGCTCATTTGTAGTGACGCATCTAGTTGGAGTATTGGAGTAATCTGCAGCAGTGCTACTGATTTCAACAACCAGTAATCACCTTGCCAAAAATAAGCTGAGCTTACAACTCTCTGCCTAATTGCTTGCCTGTCTTAGACTAGACTGTGTTCTTCTGCGTAACGAATCGTCTGGGTTAAGCCACCTTTCTGTTATCAGTAAGCCTGTCTGTTATAGAGAACATGAAGCTTGATTCCTGCAATAAGAAATTAAAACTTAAACATATTTATGAAAAAAATTAGAGCCACTGTAGGAACTGAGGTTTACTAGCTTCCAGCTTAATTCAGCATCTTTTGGCTTTAAGGAAAATGCCAAAATTAACATGAAAAGAGGACTGTCCTTTTTCTAGCTTCTGTGCTTTTATGCTTTCAGAAATAGCTGGAGAGAACAGTTTGGCATTTTTTCATTCTACAAGAAAACCATCATATTCTGTTTCCTAAGATGTGCATGTACACGTAGTACCAGCAAAGGATTAATGGTTTAATCAATTTAGAAACATTAGGAGCATTAGAAACTGGAAGTTGTAAAGTCCTGGGCATAGCTGGAGGAGGGTGTTTGTTGTTAACTTAAACTGCAAAGTTTGGCAAATCATGAAGACTTTTCACCAGACCAACAAAGATCTTGAGTCTGCTGCAAATTTAAACTCCAGCATAAGCAGATTTTTCCCTACTAACTTTAGTTTCGTTCTGGAAGAGAATAGTGGGCAGCAGTACAATTGTAGACAGTGGGTGAACCTCATGGCCTGAACAGCTGTTGGAGATGCTCAGCTGTGCTCTTCTGGACTAGGAAGACAGAAGCAGCACTCCTTTGGTAGCAGTCATGTGCATGTCCTGTGCAGGGGGATAGCCTTGCTTCAAACCAGTGGAACTGGCTGTGATCGAAGGATGGCACATGTTTAAGCATGCAGTTGTTCTTAGCCAAAACTTGTTTTGTACCAGCATATTATAAACAGCTGTAAACGTGATGAGGCACTGGAACAGGTTGCCCAGAGCAGTTGTGGCAGCCCCCTCCCTGGAAGTCTCCAAGGCCAGGCTGGATGGGGCTTTGGGCAGCCTGGTCCAGTGGGAGGTGTCCCTGCCCATGGCAGGGAGGTTGGGGCAAGATGATCTTTAAGATCCCTTCCATTCTATGATTCTGTCCTCCAGGAGCTCTGGGATTGGGAATTCCTCTTGCTCAGGTGCTGCAGCCCAGCCCTGTGTGCCCAGAGTGGGTCCCCATCCTAGAATGATCGATGCAGCTGCTGCTTCTTCCTGTTAGAGGCTCAACCAGTAGCAAAGTTAAGTATATGCCACACGGACACACAAAGGACCCTGACACGGCCAGCTACACGAACTGCCGTAAACATGGCCTTGTCTTCAACAGGGCTTGTAGGACTCCTATAAAATGTAAGTATAGACAGTCAGGCCCCCTCCCTTCTCTTCACCTAATTAGGATTGAAGTTCAGTAGTGAAAGCACACACGTACTTTGCTCTAGATTCACAAGCACATTCATGAATCCCTCAGCTATCAGCATGGTCCTTCTGTCTGGCTGATTCTCCTGCCTGGACCCTGAGCCCTCTTAACTGTTTCACTGCTCTACTTGCCAGCTAGTCTAGCTTGCTTTCCAGGAAATGGATGCACACACTCATACACCCTCCTTAAAGGCACTATTATGTTTGTGAGTCCACCTGGGTAACGATGCTGGCCTCATACTCAGGCCTGGATTTAGGGCCTACTACTTGAAGCTAGTCCAGTTTTAAGTCTGCTATTGAATTGTACACTTGCACCGTATGTTTAGGGAAGATGCAAACACTTGTCTGTCCGCAGCCCAGCAGCTGGCACTAGCAGCACGAGCCTGTGACCCACAGTCCCTCTCCAGCTGCTGGCATTGAGCCCCTCACTTGCTTTACTCACACCAGTTCTCCCCAGTAGCTGGATTTTGGGATCCGTGCCAGTCCTACCTTGGTGGTTGAGACTCTCACCTGCTCCTGTGGCTGGCACCAAGACCCCCACACTCTCTAACTGCAGACACTACAGGCCTGGGACACCTGCAGGCCTGGTCTGATTCCAGTTGCTGGCCCACTCTCACCAGCAGCTTAGTCCTTACAGCACTTATAAACACATGGGATAGAGCATGAGATTTCACAGAAATGTAATCAAAAGAAAATTTAATAAGAAGGTAGGGCAGACTGCAGTGATCAGGCACAGGGCTCAGTCAGGCAAGTGGACTGACTGACAAGAGTTTACACATGAACAGCACCTCTTATACCTCTCTCTGTTCACCACTTTGTATGTTCCCCTTCTGCATGTTTGATCCATTTGCAGAGTTGCACCAGCCCTCGTGCCAAATATCCAGAGCCCCCAGGTTTGCATGTTTGTCAGTTGCAAGGGCCAGGTTCACCTTTGAAGCAATGCTTGTGCTTTCTTGATAGCCCACTAGCTAGTGTGACTGATGAGCTTTGTTTCTTGTCATAGAATCATAGAATAGTTTAGGTTGGAAAAGACCTTGAAGATTGTTGAGGCCAACCATGAACCTTAGGGATACGAGGTCCAACACTAAACCATGTCCCTGAGCACCATATCTACGTGTCTTTTAAATACCTCCAGGGATGGTGACTCCACCACTTCCCTGGGCAGCCTGTTCCAACGCTTGACAACTCTTTTGATGATGAAATTTTTCCTAATATCCAGTCTTAACCTCCCTTGGTGCAACTTGAGGCCATTTCCTCTTGTCTTATCATTTGTTACTTGGGAGAAGAGACTGATCCCCACCTTGCTACAACCTCCTTTCAGGTAGTTGTAGAGAGTAATAAAGTCTTCCTGCAGCCTCCTGTTCTCCAGGCTGAGGAACCCCAGTTCCCTCAGCCGCTCCTCATGAGACTTGTGCTCTAGACCTTTCACCAGCTTTGTTGCCCTTCTTTGGACACACACCAGCACCTCAGTGTTTTTCTTGTAGTGAGTATCTGCTAGGTACCCCACAGCAATGTCGTCTTTGTTGTGAGAGGCCCAAAACTCTTTGTCTTTTGTTTTTCCCTGCCCCTTTCCCTTAGCATCCTATTTGGACAAGGTCCTCGATTGGGTAATTGTGCTGATACAAACACTCTCACACTCCACATGCCCTTATTCATTAGTGTAGTTGGTCGGGTTTGTGTCTTTTTGCCTCCGTTACTGCTTGTCAGTCAGGTTTGTACCTTCCCATGTTTTGCTCAGCATCCTTTTTGACAGGGTCCTTGATCTGATAATCTTACTGAAGCAAACACTGTCACCTTCCACGTATTCTTACAGTGTCTATTTTGCAAGAAGGTCTCCTAAGGTTTGAGTTCAAGTGGTAAAGATTTATTGGCTTTTTTTAAACACCTAAACCAGTACAGTGCTAAAAGCTTAAAAGTCTTCAAACTATTTTTTAGCACGTTCAGAAATGCAATAGTGAAGTAGCAGTAATTCTGCAGTTCTGCTACTCTCCTTTATTTCGAACTCCCAGTCTGTCTGCAGCTGTGCTTTGGGTCTGGGAAATGTAAAAAGATTGCATTGATAAGGAAAACTGTAATAAAGCTCGGGAACTGGAATTGATTTGTAAGTATAAGATGCCTTTGCAGAAAAGCACCTTTTCTCATACCCCATCCTTGAGTCCCTGTATGTTTCCTATGACCTAGAAACTGAAAATAATTTTCTCCCTTCTAATTTTGTCTCACCGTCAAAGACAAGTTCAGCTATTTTTGCCTTTTCAGTTTCTTTCCATTCTTTTACTGATAGTAGGTTGGGTTGAGGTAGAAAGGGCAGATAGTCTGGAACTGGTAGGTATTGGGCATTTGAAGCATTCATTTTGTCTGAGAGTAAGCTGAGCTAGTACAGCTACAATCAGTTTCAGTGTTTGTATCCAGAGGTTTCTAGCAGAAATAGGTCTCTGAAGATCTAACAGAATAAAAAGCACTGATACCATGGTATCAGTGAGGATGTCAGTGTTTATTTATGGATGAGTTTCACATGTAACATGTAGGAGATTTTTAAATTGTGTCACATTAAGCAAATGCCTCTGAATGTGAACATGGCAGTATCATACAAGCTAATAATATAAAAGAGAACTGACCTTGCCTTGCATACGAGCTTTGTTTACTAACCAGAGGAAAACAAAAGTTGTACTTAACCTGTGTTTTACTTTGTGATGTCTGTTTTAGGATTGGAGGATTCATGTAGATCAAATGCATCAGCATAAGGATGGAATTGAATCTTCTTTGAAAGAAACTAGGGTACGTCTTGTATGTGTATAATATTTCACTACCTGTCATCGTTTTTATTTCCTCTAAATTGATTTCTTTTTTCTTTGTTTTATTTGTGCTAATGCTGTAAAACTAAAAAGGGAAATATATGGCAATGATCATAAGGGACAGTGGTGCTGGCAAAATATCTTATGGGAAAGAGTTGTATATGTGAGGATTAACAGGGATATTAGGGTCATTAACATATGCATTACCATAAGTACATCCTGACTACAGAGAGCAAAGTAGAATAATATCATATTACAATCTGGAAATAAATGCTGATTAAAAAAGCAAGATTCAGTTAAGTACTGTCGTTCGAGGACTGACATTGACATTTGTAATTGATTGAGATGGGGAGAGTGTGGAAGCAATAAGACTTGAAGTATATGTTTCAGAGGTGGGCAAACCAGAACACATTAGGAATATTTTTTTGTTGGCCAAAGACAGCATCTTTGTACTATTTTTCTCTCTCTCGTAGGCTTCCATATCCTTTCTTAATCACAGCAGTATTTTAATACTCTTTACCTACTATCTGTAGTCTGTCAACCCACAGAATATGCTTTTCTAGGGTTACCTTGACAAACTCCATAATGAAATTGGCAGAACGTTGGAGAAGATCAATAGCAGGGAAAAGTACATTAACAACCAGTTGGAGCACTTGGTTCAAGAGTACCGTTCAGCACAAGCCCTGCTGAGTGAGGTAATGCGCTGATTTTCTGTTGTTGCCTTCTCTAGTATTAACTTGCTATTAAGTGAGGCTGAAGGCAAAGAAGACTTGGAGGAGTTATCTGTGAATTCTGTTGGATACAAAGCAGGGGAAATGTTGATTGGCTGTCAAATTATATAGTTTTTAAGCTAAACTAGCAATTTTTATTCAACTGTTCTGCAGGGGAAAGTAAATGGGGTTTGCCTGAATATTATGTAAATCTGTTGCCAATCTTGAGCAGCTAGTAAATTGCTAGTTCTGATCCCTGTGAGGTTCACACATCTGTGATGAGTGGAAAAACTACAGTCTCAGTCCAGAACTCATCTCTTATATTAATTGCTCATGCTAACGTGCACAAAGCACTCTGATTACTTCTTCATTTAGTTTCTATACCAGTAGAGTACTGTTTGAGAAGCTTTTTGATCCCCTAGTAGGAGGGCTGTATAAGCTGCCATTTGGCTAGCCCTCCTACTTGTGGGCACGACATGAAAATAACAGAATATGCCCTCTCTGCTTTCTCTTTACCTTTCTGTTAAGCTTCAAGAAACTTCAAGATAGTGATTTACTGCTGATGAAGAAATATTCTGGGTTTCAGGATCCAATTCTGTCTGCATTCTGGCGAATTTCTTTAATATTTATTTCCTCATGTAAATTATTAGAAAACATACTTCTTAGTGTGTGTGCATTAGGCCTATTGCAATTCTTAGTGCTGCTTTAATTTTTTGAATGATCATCATTACAGGGGCTGTTTCAAGCCTGTCCTCCTATGTGTAGCTCTGTAAATGCCATTGGGACTTTGTGAAATTGGGACTTGTGAGAGCAAGTTTTGGTCTTCTCTCCAAGCTATCTGCGTGCGACTCTTCAGTTTTGTCACTACAGCAAAAAACATGTTTCTTTCCAGGCCAAGGAGAAGTACCAGGAGGGAAGTGGAGGAGTAACTGAAAGGATGAGAGCGTTTGCTGAGGTAAAACACATCCTCCCATACTCTCTTATGCTTATTTTGAAATAGTTTTCAGTTGGCATTTAGTGTCTACGGTTTTATGAACTCAGTTCTTTCTGATTTGTTCTCCACTTAAAGCTTAACCTGTTTGTTTAGTGGAAGCAATCTAGTCCAGTCCCTAAATTTTAAACCCAGGCTGCTGATGATTTTAACTGGTGAATTTGGTCAAACTATTGTCAGCTCTTAATTGACCCAGTTTGTGAAAGAAGGTAAATGTTGTGTATGTTACAACCTGTGTCTAGAGTTGTTGAGGATCAGTCAGGTCATGTCCATAAATTCCTTGGAAAAACAAAAGCTTAACTATTTTATTTTTAATATTTTTTAAAGTTAAAATTAACAATTTGAAATTTTCATCTTCCAAGCATTTAAAAGCAGTTTGACTAAATGATAATTTTTCCATACCAGTCAAATTATTTTAATACCTAAAACTTGTTTTCTGGAGTTTTTTTGTCTGTTTTCCTTAAATCAGTGCTCTGACAAATGTAAAGAAAAATCCTCAGACTCCTAGCTGCCTCAACATTTTGAGTGTTTCATGGCATTTCATTTGGAATTATTACCGTGTTTCCAAATATATGAACCCTCTGTCCAATTCAGAAAATATTTTTTAATGGCTCTGTTATTTGTGTTTGAAAAACCCTCTCTGTTATTTATGTTTGAAAAAACGCACTCTGTTAGATGATAATATGCCTGAAATGGCCACATAAAATAGACCACAGCATAAGAATGTGCTGGAAGTTGTAGAACCCGTTTGAGGTAGACTAGAGTAGAGTAGACTAGAGTAGAGTAGACTAGTACATCTGGTACAACTGCAGTAGGTAATAAACACAGCAGTTGGTCCAGTTTGCGAGTGAAGATTTTCGAGTATATGTATTCTGCAGAATTAGAGCTTCTTTATATTTCACTCTCAAGGAAATGAGTTTAAAGAAGAGAGTACTTCGTGATGTCTTCAGATTTATAGAGCGTTTGGGTGTTGGAAATGATTGGCTGGTTAGTAGTGATGAATATGTTACTGGCTGGCAGCCTTCAAACTCTGTAGGTGCAGTGGTGCCCATCTTGAGATAAACCGGACACTGACCCGCTCTCAGGTGTGCTGTCAAATCTCAGCCCACTTGGCGATACCAGTACCGCTGCAGGTGCGCATTAACAAAGCAGTGATGTTTCTGTTTTGCTATCGAAGAGGCTTCTTGAAGCCTTAATGAAGTGCTGGCTTTATATTACAGACAAAACCACTGAATTGTAGATTTGCTTTGTCTTCGTTGTCTGCAAAGGCAAACTGGTCGATAAATAGCCAGTGCTGAAATGCACTTGCATTCTTCATGCGCGCACTTGATGTACCTGTGTGAGCGCCAGCAGGCTTGGCTGCTGCACCATCATTTGCTGCAGTCCTGTTTCTTCAGGTTTCCACCATCACCGGCTCAAGTCCTGACACTTCCAGAAGGGCAAGTGGCATGGCTATTTAGAGAGTCTTGGTCTGCGAGGACATTGATCCCTGTCTTCCCTTTAGCATCGTACTGCAACGCTTACACTGTTGTTTTATTGGGATGCGCAGGTTTAGCCACTTATTGCTCTTTTTGCTGTAATTTTTACATTAATTTGTTAAATTATTTTTCTTCATGTTTGAAAGAAATTGTTCCTCCACATGCAATGACTAAGACAGATTAATTCTTTTTTGTTAACTAAGGGAGTTATTTGGCAGAGAATTAATTTGTTTTCTTTTTTTAACTTGACATTCATCTGATCTAATTAAGCAATATCTATATTAAGATTACAGAAGTATTAGAGAGAGTAAAGCAAGAAACAGAAGAGAAAGGAAGCAGTATGACTGATGGAGGTAAGTATGGTTTTGTCTCAAACCAAACACTTTTTTTCAGCACTAGGTACACAATTTGTCCTTTATTAAAGAAAAATAAGGCCAGAATGAGTGACTAGTCTATCAGTATTAAAATTTTATAAGGTGCCCAAGAAAATCACTAGTCTAAACCTTTTTGAAAATATTGTGTAAGTCCACAGAAGGCAGGCATTCCAGGATTTCTTCCTTCATTAAATTATTTGTAAAAATCTAAAAAAAAAAAAAAATGGGTTTTTACTTCTGCTTGAATAGTTACTGACTCAGTGGAAGAAATTTGTATGTTACAGGTTCAAGTCCTTTTACTCTGAAACAGGTACTGACAATAGCTATTAGATTCCCTCACTTACGCTGGCAGAAGTCAGTGTGAAAATTCATTTTGATCTTTTGGTATTTGGGCTTTTCTAATATTTAAAATTACATACCTATTTGAATCGGTTTGTTTCAGACTCGGAATTTGGTGTTTGAGATTTTTCCTGATAAATGTATTATGTTGCAAATGTATAAGGAGTATGAATGCAAAAATAAATTGATGCACATTACAGTGGGGTTAAATATGCAAGCTCTGTCCGTAATGAAGTGTATCCATTACAGCTAATTTACTCAAGTGACTGTAATTTTTACTGCACCCTTGCTTCACTGTGAAGGAGCTACTTGCCTACCTCTCAACACCTTTTCTGTATGGCATGGTCAAGGGTCAGGATAAAATGTAGAGCCCAGAATCGTAAGGAGCAATATGATGCAGCAGCAGGGTGCAGAGTGGTATTAGTGGGAAATAAGGGATTAGAACCAAAGTGTGGGGCATAAAACATTTTAATAGCTTTTCACAGGTAAGATGATACCCTGCTGAAAGTATTTTCTGTTCTCTAGCAAACACCGCATCAGGTATCGGGATGATGCTTTCAGCTGAGCAAAACACATCATTGACAAACCTATCTTAATGTTGATGCACATCTTTATGCAGATCTTAGATGTCAAGAAGACAGCAAAATTGTCATCGCCTCTTTCTGTCTTTATAGTGTCTTGCATATTAAAAGTGATATATCAGTACAATCAAGTCTTTAGAGTAGAACACCCTTTTGTTCATTCAGCTCTTCAATTTTAAGGAGTGAATTATAGAAAATAATGCTTTTGTCTTAAGTAGCTGACACAGAGTTGCACTGCTTATCTTTTTCTTTTTTTATTTTTTAACAGCTCCTCTAGTGAAGATTAAGCAGGCCTTAACGAAACTGAAGCAAGAAACCATTCAGATGGACATACAGATTGGTGTAATGAAACACACGCTGCTCCAGTCAAAGCTGAGAGAGAAATCCGATATGACCAGAGATATGCATGCGACAATAATTCCAAAAGCCACAGTAGGTGCCTATTAAAATTGTCTGGAGCTGACTCAGTTTGTCCAAAATACAGTTTTCTACTGTTTGCTTTTTTGTTAGTTTTCATTGTGGGAGGGGGGCGTTCCTTTTTTCTTTTCATGCACTTTTAAGAAGTAACATGTACACTTTGGACTCAGCATGGAGCCATGTTTAGTTTTGTACTGTTAAGATTTACTGCAGATCCCTTCCAAATATACTAATAAATTCTTATTAAAGAACGTATCTGTACTTCATTGGAGAATGTTATGTAGTGCAAAAGTATAGAATGATAATGACAGCCTGTAATCTTGGTATTCTACAGTGCTGAAACAAAATTGTTTGCTAAGGACATGAAATGAACTTAAAATGTCTATTATTGCCATTTACATACATTTAGTATAAGTATTTAATTGATGATACTGCAATAAAATGGCATTACCCTTTCTAAGCGGCTGAGTCAGAATTTATTTCAGCTTTGAATTGAAGTTTATAAATTAAGCAACAAACTAATGTTTCAGTAATACTGGCGTGCTCCTAGGGGAGCCCTACACAAATGTGTGAATGGATAAATACCCTATTCCTTGCCATTTTTGAGGAGGGGGTGTTTGTTGTTTATTTGGAATGATCCTCTAGATAGGCCTGTGTGAATGTTTTTTGTAGTTATTTTTATTTTTACTTTTACATTGCCTTTAACAGGAGCAGTGATAACAAAATCTATGTAAGACCAAAGAATGTATTTGGAAATTACTGTTGACTTTCTAATTTTTTTCCATGTGTCATCACTGTTTCAGACTCATGTTATGTTGGCATTGCTGCTTTTATTTATAGTATGTAGTAGAGCTCTGTGGACATCATTTGGATTATTCTTGTTTTCTGTTCTTGTGTCAGAACACCTACTTTGCATCTCAGTTAAGGAAAAACGTTGCCAAATCTAGTTGTGTAGTATGGAATGAGAAGAAAAATGTAGGAGGAAGGGGTTGGAAATGACAATGGGGGGCTCCCTTTGTCTTGGAAAAATGTGCAGGTTGGTAGAGATTCTAGACATTATCGGTAATGAAGAAACATGGAACAAAGGAATAACCTTACTGAAGTACTAGTACGTCCTTTTGGTTGCCATTATTCATAAGCGACAGACGATACTGGTACAATTCCAGTGATATTAAAATCCTCCCCTAACTTCTGTAAGCAGTTCCATTCACCATACAATTAATTTCTCTCACTTAAAGGTGAGCAGTATTTTGTAGAATCAGTGGATCAGTTTTGTGTCTGAAAGTCAGCACGCTTGACACAGTCAGTGCTATAAGCCTGTTTCTTAACTTTGTTGTACTTCAACATTTTATTTGCAAGAAAAAAGGAAAAAAAAGCTCTAAACTCATCAGATTTTAATAAGGGCAAAGCTATATGTAAATACCAACTATTATAATTTACCTGTGCAAGTGACTGTTGAAAATCTCTATGAATCACACTGGAAATCAGTTCCCAACTTCTTTTGCTGCCTACCTATATCCTCCCACATTCAGCTTAAATTAGAAGAGTTATTATTCATGTTCCCTTTGTTAGGTGGTGTTGCTACTGCATATTTACTTTAACAGTGGGTTTACTTCAGTTTAAGATAAAGCAATCCTCTTCTGCATTGCCTGCAAAGTAGCTCACTGACACTTTTGGATTGCAAATGTTGTGCTGTATAAATGCTGTTTATGTAAATACTTTCAAAAAAACCCTCCTCCTTCATGCTAATATAACAAACACAATTAATCAAGAACTTTCCCTGGTGAATCGAGCCTCTTACTCACTTAGAAGTGAATCTGTTGAGACAAGCATGGCCAAAAAATCCTCTAATGCAGTACAAAAAAAAATCTCAAGAAGAAAAGCTAGCCCCCTTTATGGCAAAGTAATTCTAAAATATTGTGCTAATTATATGTCATTAACCTACGTTATTTTTCACGTCACTGTCTGAAACTGCATCAATCTAAGTAGGACACTTCTTTTGTTGTCTTAAGAGTGATATGTGGCCCTTAATTGTCATATGGCAAAGAATGACATTTGCCCATTTAGACAGCAAAATCACTTGGTCCTGCTTTGAAAGCAGGCTTACTCATGCAGCAAGTGGCCACGCCACCTTTCTTAAAAGCATGAGAAGAGCAATGCGGTCTGTGACAAGCAGCCTTGTAAGGCTGTTCTAAAAAAGCTGTATTATTCCACTGCTAGGTTGCGGCAGGAAGCAGAAGCCACATTAAAATTAAACTACTTGATTTGCATCGTTTCATACATTGCTCATTATCTAATGCCATTTCAGAACTGAAGACGAGCAAAACGAAGCTGTCCCTAAGTTAGCAGGCTGCACGTGAATCTGTGCTGTGCTATACAACAGTCTCTCTTCTGAAGAATATTTGAAGAATATCATTAAGACTTGACTTTTTTAAAAGAGCTAGTTTCATGCAGAGCTCTCCTCTTCCAAGATCTCTCAACATTTTCACTCCTCTGAAATACATCACCATGGAGGCACGGTATCACTATCACACATCATCTAGAAGCCAAACAGAAGCTAGCTGTAGACAGATTCAGAAGTAGCACATGGGGACAAACAAGGAGTTTCATTTTCTGAATCTGGTCAGAGGAGCCATGGGGTTTATGCTAGCTGTGAGGACGGCAATAGTTCAGTCTCACTTGTGGCCCCAAGGGAAAGCTGAAACTTAGACTCTTGGAAGTGGCTGAGGAAGACTCTTCAGTAGCCAGCATGCACTCTGCTGCCTGTACTCCCCAAAGCTCTGGAAAAGGAATGGTAGCAACCTATTACGTCATAGGGTTTCTGCAGCTCTGAATACCTCTGAACCTCGTAATACCACTCGATGTCGTATCTCCTGTGCTGTCTGATCTCTAGGCTAGCATGTATAGGATGCAAGTGCCCTGCTAGGAACTGGAAGTGGCCTTAGTGCTCAGTACCCTGTTAGAGGTGTTGTTTACAGGCCATGTAGGACATTTGAGTGTGATGTTATATGCATTACTGTCTTACTATTCTTATATATACTTAATATTCCAATCCCCGTTCTCTTCTAATGTCAGCAGACGACATGATTTGCTGAATATTTTGTGCTGTGCTGTTAAAAAATGCAAAGTAAGGGCTGGATTCTTACCTCTTAACCAATTCTCACATAGAGAGATTTCTGTGAAGTTAGTGACTTGAAATAGGAGGAATTTACTAGCGGCTTTCAGTCATATGCCAAGAATTAAGTATTTCTATAATGACACAAGTTAATCATTTGAACTTATATTGGTGAGTGCTGTGCAAGAGGGTGAACCAGAAGTTCATATGAATTTGAGAAACCGCTAATGGTTACAAACAACTCTCCTTTCATCAAAATACCATCACTCGTTTTTGCTGGTGGCATTAAAGACCTTCCCCTCTTCCCCCATATGAAAGAGGAACTTCAGGGAAAATTCCTTCTTGAAAAGGAAAACAAATGCCCAACTACTATTAAATGTTGCCACTTCTTTGGAGCATAGCTCTGCTGTGCACTACGACATAGAAAAAAATCACTGTATTGCTAATTGTAAATTACAGTAAGAGTAATTAAGTCATCTCTGCATACCCTATTAAAAAGACTAGGCATAAATGAAGAGCCTGTATGTGAACATTTCCAGCTTCTGAGCGCTTTGAATTTTGTGTCCAAATTTTGCAGCCTGGGCTCCTCGCCAAGTTTGACAAATGTTAATTAAAAAAAAAAGAAAAAAGAAAAAATTAGTGTGATACTGTTTCTTTTCACGCTGGCTCTCAGCCCGTTCCCTGAATGTCAGTGCTGCAGTGTGCCTCCACAAGGCAGCTGCACGTGCATGCGCACATGCCGTGCACATACCCCTGCCCAACTTTTGGCCAAAACAAGCAGTAGACTTCAGCAACATAGCAACATGCATGTGAGTACCCTGTCCCAGTTCCTGCAGTGTCACTGCTTTCCACTTTGTCATTGATGTATTAATGTTTCAGGAAGTAGCTGGGTGTTTTCTGACCTTTGTCAGAAAAGCCTGGCTTGTGATATCAGTGCCTGCAAGGTTAAGCAGACACGGGATATGACCACCAGCTTTTGTGCATGAATACCATTCATAGGTGGGGAGTTTCCACAGGAGGCTCTGAGACCACGGAGGTTATTTTTGTCTGCCATTTCCTCCTCTCACTGTATTTCTCCCTTCAGCAAACACCCTTACCAGAGCTTTCTCAGGTATTAGCCAATACTTTGCCTTTGCTCCAGGGCTCGGTGTGGCTGGAAATATCTTTAGTAACAGCCTCGCCGTTTTTGTAAACAGTCATTCCCAGAGAACCCTGGTATGAGCAGGGTTGAGAGGTTTTTAGTAAGTAACAACTTAAATAATGCTAGTCTTTCACTTAGCAGGTAGCTCCATTCTGTTCTTTTTCATTTCTGGTCTTAAGAGTGGTTGGATGTCAGTACTCCATCCCAGAAGGGGCTGAGACATGCTAGTTACTCGTATGTCTTAGGTACCTGCTGTAAAAATCAACAAAAATTATTACTTTAAGGTCAGAAGTACAGAATAATAATATTTCTCTTGATGACCCACTAATTGCAATTGTTCATTCAAAACATTTTCTGTTCCCATGACTTTCAAGGGATGGCAATACTTCAAATGACATCTTAGTGTTATTCAGTAATGTGAAGAGTTAAACTGTGGTTTGTAGGCATCTCCCGGACCAAAAGTTTTACATTCCTCTTGTAGTTTTAGAGTTGAAGTTTCTCACTGTATCTTGAAAAGAGGTCTCTAGTAAGGTTTTTCAGAGTTCTCTTTATCCTTCTCTCAGCATTGATGGTCCATGAGCGTTTTACCTTCTTTCAAATAATCCATCTGGGGAAAAAATACAAGCCACTAGTCAGACCAAAGGAGACAGGCCATTAGTGACAGTTTGCCAGAAACTAGTGTCAAAAAATGGTGCAGGAAGTTTCAAGAGGTTTGACAGCATTTGTTGATCATTGTTTCCTTATGTAGCTTGAGTAAAACTTACTTGGAGTTTTTCACCGTCTTCAGCTGTATCATACTGGCAATAAAGAATAAAAAATATTGTTCTAAGGAGACTATG